CCCCCCACACACCAGACTCCTGGACCCCATCTGCACTCTCCTCTCTCCAACCCCCTAATTGCATATGCACAAATGCAAATGCCTATTAATTAATTACTTGACTAATTAGTGCAGTGGTATTTTAGAGCGATAAATCAAGTGGAGATGGGGCCGAGGACGGCGGGGCAGGAGGAGGGCTGTGCGGAGCATCCACAATGAACCCACTCCAGAGGGAGGGCTCCTATTGTGCCAGCCCTGTGTGGGAGTGGGCTGTGAAGAGGGTTTGTGCACACTGGATCTTCTGAAGTGAAGCACCATTTAAAAATTGCTGAAGTGCCCGAAAAGGTGACTGAGTGAGATGCTTACTCTCTGTCCAAAGAGGAAGTGAGAAAGATAAAGAGAGAGGATAAGAAATGTAGGTTGCATATGAGAGATATGACCTCTGCTCTACCAACTGTGTTGTTTCCTGGCATGTGGCCAGGCTCGGAGGCTCGTTGTACCTATTTTCACAAAGGAGAAACCACCATCTACATATTATGACTGCTCCTACTGATGCATATTTATACTGATATTGTACGCCTCGTACAATAGTTCAATGAGCATAACAGTTGGCATCATTTACGCAGTGATACTGATGTGATAATCGTGCATCTGTGATTGGGAGGTGAATAATTCTGGCAGCCGTGGTAAATTGTGTCTCTATGTCTGTGTGTGTGTGTGTGTGTGTGTGTGTGTGTGTGTGTGTGTGTGTGTGTGTGTGTGTGTGTGTGTGTGTGTGTGTGTGCACGTCCTCCTACATCCGTCCTTCTTTCTATGGAGGGGAACTGGTGTTGGTTGATTTGTGCTTGGCTCGCTCTTCCTGTCACTTTCTCACTCATTCACAAACATGGTACACAAAAGCACATTTTTAAGAAAGCGTTTCACGTCCCTCAAATTCATTCATCTTATTTGCGTGCATGTCACATACTCTGTGGGTTTTTATTTACCTTCATACCTCATTCACTCTGCTTGTGTTGGAGTTTGGTTGACTTTTGATCATTGATTTGTCTGCCTGCCTGCCTGTCTGTCTCTGTCTGTTTCTCTGTCTGTCCCTCTGTCTGTCTCTCTGTCCATCCGTCCGCAGGGTGCGTATGAAGCTCTGGAGTTTTCCATCAGTTCCCGTGCCAATCTTGAACCATCTTGTGGGATTTTTGGCTTTTAATTATAGTAAGAGAGGATTAATTATGGCAGTGGAAACAAGGGGCCATGCATTATTGATGCTATGAGTGAAGGGCTGGAGGGGGTAGAGGGTGCTAATTAAATCACTGCCCTACTGCCACGTCCTCCTCTGTCTCTGCCTCCACCATGTCTTCCACCTGCTACATCTCAACACCCCACCCTACTTCACTGCTCACACCCACCCATACATATTGTCACTCAGACAAACATGCTCATGCATCTTTTGTTTTTTCTCACGCTGTTTTTCTGCATGATATTTATTTTTCACCCAGCTACCTCGCTCAAACCTTCAAATCAGAGTTTACAAATATCTTCCACTCATCTCACCTTTCCAGGTAATGCACGCCTTTTCAATGTTTCCTTCACCTTCTTGGTTATCATTTATGAAGAATGTATCTCTTTATATCTCCCTGGTATATCAGTTTGCAAGCTGCCAGATTATATTAATAGTGATTGGTCCATCCATTTAATGTTCCTCTGTGATGACATGTTTAAATCTGCTTCAATCCTAATTCAGCACCTCAGTTTCAATTTCAACCCCTGTTAATTAAGAAAGCTCCATCCATTCAACATGGGAGCCAAACTTAACCTAAAGCTGCCATCTACTGGACGTTATTTGTAATGATCAGCTTTTACATGTTTTACAACCATTGTGAGATAATTGTATAATCTGTATTTACATTTTTAGTTGTAAAACATCTGTCCATAAAACTGACCAACACGAACATCTAATAATTTCTGGAAAGCAATGCCTTTACTTTTATGGTGTCCTAAAAAATAACAGCATACAACTCCATCATTTTATACAATGTTCCCCTTCCAGAGAACTTACATAAACCGTATTGCCCATAAGGACCAATTAAGTAATTTCTACGCAAAAGGAATATTCTGTTTTTCCAACCAGACCTTTTTTATGTGAAAGAACACAAATTCTGCCATAGACGTGTTGTTTTCCTTAGGGATATATTAAAGTCCTGCATGTTTTGTCCATCTGAAAGTGCACCAAATCCTGTGCAGAGTGCAACCTCACAGACACTGGTCACACTGTACACAGTTCAACAGCAGTCCACATATTTGCTCAAATAGTGCACTTTATGTTTTTTTCTGATGCCTTATGGTCGTCTTATCTTCGGTCCTTGTTTTTTGTCTTTTCTCCTATTTCTCCTTACTGGTGATCCCTCTCTTGATTCTCAGCATTCATCACATCATGTGCTCTGTTGTCCCAACACATTGCCGATGGACTTTGGTTCCCTGGCATCAAACAATACAATGATAACAATCTGAGGAGGCAATCCGCTGTCTATCCCTTTGTTTTTCTGCCATATTTTCATGAAGGGTG